TGGGAGTGCCAACTTGTACTTTGGAAGTCAATATGGTGACTCCTCAAGAAAATGGGAATCAGTCTACCACATGATCCAGCTATTCCACTCCTAGGCATATACCCAAAGAAGCACATTCATACAGCAAGGACATCTGTTCAACGATGTTCATAGCAGCACTATTGTAATAGTCAGAACCTGGAAGCAACCTAGATGCCCCTCACCTGAAGAATGGATAGAGAAAATGTGGTACATCTATACAATGGAGTACTACTCAGTGAAAAAACTATAGAATCTTGAAATTGGCATGAAAATTGATGGAACCAGAAGAAACCATTCTGATCAAGGTAACCCAATCACAAAAAGACAAACATGGTATGTACTCATTCATATTTGGAGTTTAGACACAGAATAAAGAATTACCAGCCTACAATCCACATTGCCAGAGAAACTAGTAAACAAGGAGGACCCTAAGAGAGACATACATGGTCCCCTGGAGAAGGGGAAAGGGTCAAGATCCCCTGAGCAAATTGGGAACATGAGAGGAGGGGGGAGGGAGCTAGGAGAATGAGAAGGGGAGAAGAGGAGGAGGGCATGATGGAGCAGAAATATTGAGTCGGGGGAAGAATAGAAGAAAACCAGAAAGTAGATACCATAATAGGAAATAGTGGGAAATTACCAATACGGAGTCAGGTAGAAATATAAGGGTATTTAATAGGGAAAAGCCTTACTTACAGAGCGACCTAGCCAGCCAGCGTGGCAGCAGCCTGTACAGCAAGAAGCAAAGTGAAACCAAAAGAGCAAACACAGTCACACTATGTCACTCGGACCACGCCCTCACAAGCGTGGTCAGACACACCTGCAGCCAGCCCCTAAATAGGCGTGGCTACAGCTTCCCCTACAATAGAGGAAGATATTTCAGGGTTACAGAGAAAACAGGCTCTAGGGAAATGTCTGGAGAGCTACAAAGATGACACCAACTAACAATCTAAGACTTATCAGAGAGGCTACCTTAAATGCCCTCCTCTGATGAGATTGATTACTGACTTATATGCCATCGGATAGCCCTCATCCAGCAGCTGGTGGAAGTAGAAGCAGACACCCACAACTTATCACCGAACTGAACTGGAATCCAGTGGCAGAGAAGGATGAGTGATGAGCAAAGAGGTCCAGACTAGGCTGGTGAAACACACCCACAGAAACAGCTGACCTGAACTCAACAGGGAGCTCTTGGTCCCCAGACTGATAGCTGGGATACCAGCATGGGACTGATCCAGACCCCAGGAACTTGGTTTTCAGTGAGGAGACCTTGGAAATCTATGTGTCCTCCTGTAGTAGATCAGTACTTATCCATTTTATAGTTGTGGGCTTTTGGAGCCCATTCCACATAGAGGGATACTCCCTGAGCCAAGACACACGGGGGTGGGCCTAGGCCCTATCCCAAAGGATACAATAGACTCTGATGACCCCCTATGGAAGGCCTCCCCCCTCCCTGGGGAGCATAAAGCATATGTGATAGGTAGGGTTTTAGTTGGGGGGATGGTAGGAGAGTTGGGGAGGGAGAGGGAACTGGGATTGACATTGAAAACAATCTTGTTTCTATTTCAAATAAAAAAGTCTGCAAAAAATGAGATAATTATATATGAAATGGAAAACATAATGGGAATTTTCTCTTTATTTTCTCCAAATAAAAAAAATCATGTAAAAATCATCCTGAGATGTGGAGGTAGACAGCAAAAGATATTGAAACATACACAAATACATCTAAAAGTGAAACCTAAAATTTCTTAAATTGTGTGTCAAATATGGACAAACTGGCAAAATCTTTGCTTTCTCTGGTTCATCCCTTTGTTGTATACCACCTTGTGTAACAACTTTCATGAAACATTTTAAGGACGCTGTATTTTAATCACCTTGGCACCAGTACAGAAATAAGTCTTAATTTTAGACTCTATTTTGCATTTCTGCTGGCAAATAAATTATTTTACTTATTAATAAACTCCTTTGCAATTTAATTTGATTTAAAAGCCCAGAAAAAGAAACTGATGGGCACGGTGTGGCAGCGGAGAACCTCTGTTTTCTTCTTTTGTGTCAGGGATGCACTTCTGAATCTCTCAATATCAACTAAACATGTCTCACAGGCATTAAATTCAACAGAAAGAAAAGCTTTTGTGCCATTTAACTCATGCCATGTGCAATGTCCACAGAGACCCTTTTTTAAACATAGACACAACATTAGTTCTCATAAGCAGATTGCTTCTTTTTGAGCATTGTTCCTTTCTTCTTACCTTCATCTGTCTTTCTCTTTCTATCTCTTGAGTCTTTCCCTCTCTCCAAGGTTGCATAGTTTCTCTCTATTAGTCAGTCATGACTTGTGCAGACAGGTAACTAAAACACTGAGTTTACACTGAGATCACTGCTTACTGCTTTACATGTTTCCCGTATCAAGTGAGTCCTGTTTGTAGCCTTGTGTTACTGACAAGAAAAAGGAGGCCTAAAACTATTAAATTATGTCTCCCCAAATGGAAAGCCATGGACCTGTGCCTAATTCTAGCCCTCACAATTCACTGATGCTCTTCTTCTGGTGTGTTTGTCCAGAAAGCATCAGACTCCATTTCATTGTCACAAAATATGGTAGAAAGAAAATCAACTAAAACTCATCAATATTAAAATATATGCATTATCCACAAGTATTATGCCATTAAGTTATTCCATGTTTCTCATGAAACTGTTACAAATTAATGAAATAAGAAAGTCATAGACAAAATGTTTCCTATCATCTTTATCGATAGCTATAATCCTTGGACATGATTAGATCCTCTTAGACTCCAAGATGTAGAGGTTTTTAGCTCCTCACCTAGCTGGCTGTCATAAATGCTCAAGTGTGAGCATTTTAGTTTAGACTATCAGCTGAACTTAATATTTCCTAGGTCTCCTTTGCAATATTTACTTAGGAAAAGGGAAGAAGGACTAATCTCCCATTCATTCTTGTCTTTTTCAACTGCCTTTCCTTTCTTTGTTCTCTATCTTTAATAAACCAGCCAATGCCCTGGCTCTAACTCATGAGTTTTCCTCTATTAGGGGCTCAGAGATGAAGAAATTGCATTTGTCCCTACCTCACTCTCAGCCATTTATATGCATTGCAGCAATTACCATTAAGACAGAGACCTAAAGCTGAATCTCAGATGTTTAAAGTTGTATTCCCACTATCATATGGCCAAAATGTGGCTGAATTGGAATAGCACTGACTGAATTCCCTGCTTTCCTCTACCACCCAGACACACTGCAGCATTGTTACTTTGCCAAATTCTTAAATTTTGTCTGGTTTTTAACTAGGTGCAATGTACTTTGTATTGATAAATTGCCATGTGCTGTTTCCACTGTATGAGAAGCCAGCTTTTTTTTGTTTTATTATTATTATTTATTTATTTATTTATTTATTTGGTTTTTGAGACAGGGTTTCTCTGTGTAGCTTTGGAACCTATCCTGGCACTCGCTCTGGAGACCAGGCTGGCCTCAAACTCACACAGATCCGCCTGTCTCTGCCTCCCAAGTGCTGGGATTAAAGACGTGTGCCACCAAAGCACGGTGAGAAGCCAGCTCTTGAAGCGGAGTTTGAACCTACACATCAGACCCTAGTTTGTTTGTGTTCAATGTCCTCCCAAGCTCTGTTTGGGGCGAGACTGGGCTGGTACTCTGGCCCTGTAAGGGGAAAGACAAGGAACACACAGTTGGGGGTGTTAAAGAACTGTTAGCATTTGAAAACGCTCCAAAGAAAAGAATTTCCAACAGGCATTACTAATTCTTATCTCAAGACACAAAAATGTCTGCAATGGGAAATGGAAGCTGGAAGTCCAGCTGTAGAAGTTCATCCATGGAGCAGAAGCTCAGTGGGAAACTGCCCCTGACTGCCTACCCTCCCCAGTCCTTTCCAGCTAGGTGTTACTGAGCCCCTGGTTTGATGAGGCCACCTTTCCTCTGTCCTCTTGATTGACTATTCTAGCCATCTCTGATGGATGTTGTGAGTACCTGATTTGATGAAGTTATCTCATTTCTTTGTTTATTATTTTGTTTTTGTTTGCCATGTACTCAATGTAATCATTGATTAAAAACCAAATTCATGGCTCTAATGAATCATCCTCTGGACTTTATTTGGGTTTCATTATATCTCAGACTGTAACTACTATGGGGATTTTTCACTGCTAAATCCATAAAATATGTATACATACATTACAGTCTCTGTTTTTATTTATTATATTATCATATGCATTTTGTTCATTCATGGCTCAAACTGAAAACTTTTAAAACTATCTCTTGTTATTTTCATCTTCCTGGTGTTAATATGTATGTCTTTGTGTGCTGTTTTGACCCAGATAATTTATTTAATTTCGTAGGGTTGTGTGTGTATTTGTGCACTTGTGTTTGCAGATGCATTCACCAATGTTGGGCATCTTTATCACTCTTCATTTTTTTTTTTTTTGTAGTCTAAAGGCTTACCTCATTTATGTTAGAGTCTTTATTTATTTTTAAATTAGAAACAAGCTTCTTTTACATGTCAATTCCAGTTCCTTCTCCCTCCCTTCCCCTCCCCCCTCCCACCGTCCCCCCCTCACCTCCCCCTTCTACCCCCCCCCAGGGTGAGACCTTCCGTGGGGGATCTTCAATGCTGTCATATCTTTTGGAGCAGGGCCAAGGCCCTCCTCTATACCACTCTTCATTTTGATGCAAGGATTCTTACTAATCCTGATTTTGACTGGGCTGGGAAATAAGGAGATTCTAGACTCACCTGCTCTCCTTCCCTGATCACCACACCCCTGCTAGGCTTTCAGAAGCATACCTCTGCTTTTACATAGGAGCTGGTGATCCAAACCCATGTCCTCCTGCTTATGCAACAAGCACTTTGCTCACTGATACATCTTTTCAGATGAACCTGAACAGTTTTTACAAGTGAAGATTAGCAACAAAATGTCAAACTAAAGCAAATGTCTGACTATGAAGCTCTTCTAATAAAAAAATAGACATTCTTATGATGATCACTATTATTATAATCAATATAAAATATTGCCTATTACTACTTTTTAAAATATAATTATAATATTACAAAACTTACATTCCACATCTCAAATTGTCTTAAAACCCATCATTTAAGTCACTGATAGCAAACTTCAAATGTTTAATGCTAATAACCATACTATCCAACACTAAGTTGTTCTTCAGCAGTGAGTTGATTGAACATTTTTAAAATTTAATTATTTCTTTTTATTTAGAGTGGTTGCCAAATTCCTCTCAATCTTGGCAGTTGTCTCAAGGCATAACAACCTCTGCCATGGCTCATATGATTTTCATTTGAATGAATGCAACCTTTATTATGTTTTCTCCTTTTTTATTCAAAATCCTATCACTTATCAGTAGGGGTTTTGTTTGTTCATTGGTTGGCTGGTTTATTATCCCCTTGGCTTAGTCTCATTCATTAACAGCTTCAGTAATGTGAAACAATTGAATCATCAGAGACAGGCCATGTATTCATCTTTACACTTTTTATAATCTTTATTCTAATTCACTCATCTGTATAATGAATACTCAGATTAGATGATTTCCAAGATCCTTCCAACTTGAACATTCCATGTGCTTCAAACTGATAGAAAACAGTGTGTTGCTCAAGCAGAGAAAACAATTTTCAGGCTCAAATACATCAGACTTTTCAAACCCCACAGTTACTTCTTTGAAATTTTGCCCAGAGTCATATCTTGCTTCTCTTATGTAAGGCTATTTACCTTTCAAATATAACAAGT